AAGCAATTCTAGGCAACAGAGACATGGCTGGGGGTATCACAATCCCCAACTTGAAACTATACTACAAAGCTACTGTGATAAAAACAGCATGGTATTGGCAAAGGAACAGACCTGAGGATCAGTGGAACAGATCAGAAGATGTAGAAACAACTCCAGACACATTCAGCTACCTCATCTTTGACAAAGCAGCCAACCACCATCATTGGAGGAAAGATAGCCTATTTAATAAATGGTGTTGGAAAAACTGGACTTCAACCTGCCAAAGATTAAAACTAGACCCATATCTATCACCATGCACTAAACTAAGATCGAAGTGGATTAAAGATCTAAATATTAAGACAGAAACATTAACTTGCTGGTAGATAAGTTAAGTAGAAGTCTTGAAGACATTGGCATAGGAAAAGATTTTATGAACAAAACCTCAGTAACATGGGAACTAGCAGAAAGAATCAACAACTGGGATCTCATCTTATTAAAAAGCTTCTGCACTGCAAGAGAAACCACCAACAGAACTAAGAGACAACCTACAATGTGGGAAAAAATTTTTAGCAGCTGTACCTTACACAAAGGACTATCTAGAATATATAAAGAACTGAAAAAAATCAGAGCCCCCAAATTCAAAAACCCAATTCAAAAACGGGCATCTGAAATGAACAGACATTCTCAGACAAAGAATTAAAAGCAGCAAACATATGAAAAAATGTTCAACATCACTGGTCATTTGCGAAATTCAGATGAAAACAACACTGAGATTCCACCTCACCCTGGAAAGAATGGCTGCTATCAAGAAATCAACCAATAATAAATGCTGGCGGGGGTGTGGGGAGAAACGAACCCTTCTCCATTGTTGGTGGCAGTGTAGACTGGTGCAACCACCGTGGAAATCAGTATGGAGATACCTCAAAGAACTAGGGCTAGAGGTCCCATTTGACCCAGCTATTCCCCTGCTAGAGATCTTTCCAAAAGAATTAAAAGAATTGTACCACAGCGATATATGTGCACCCATGTTTATAGCAGCACAGTTTGTAATTGCTAAAGCTTGGAAACAGCCCAAGTGCCCATCAGCTGGAAACTGGATAAAGAAGATGTGGTTTTTTTAATAAAATGGAGTACTACTCAGCCATAAAGAATGAGAAACTAGAGACATTTATAGCTAAATGTATATTGAGGCCATATTCATGAGTGAAATAAATATGACACACACGTGTAAATACCAAATAGTTTCTCTAGTGTGAGAAACTGAAAGTATAAATAAGAATTAAAATGATTAAAATGACAAATTGATAATTTGAAATAGGGAGAAAAGGTCCAAAGGGGTAGGGGTGGTGGGAGGGGAAGGGGAAAGGAAAGGAGGGAAAGGAAAAATTATGAGAAAAGGAAAAAAATGGAAACAAAGTCTATGTAAATAGGGAAGGGCAGAGGGGGTGAAGGGTGCACAGGTAATGCGGAAAAAAAAACAGAGTGAGAAAACTCTGATTCTTACACATACACCCTTGTTCTAACCTCCACATCCCTGCCTAAGTTACCTAAGACATCCTTCTTAACAACCACTGACGAATCTCCATCACCAAATAAGCCCTTAAAAACTGAACCTAAGCCAGGTGTAGTGTCACACACACACACACACACACACACACACCCCAATAATCCCAGCACTCCAGAGGCTGAGGCAGGAAGATCACCTCAAGTTCAAGGCCAGCCTGGGCTATATAGTGAGTTCAAGGACAGCCTGAACTACATGATGAGCCTGTCTCAAACAAACAAACAAACAAACAAAACGAAACAAAACAGAAAAAACTGGACCTCAGCTACTTACCTGATCTCATTCACCTCCTACTCTCCCAAAACCCCAGCTCTTCCCTGGGACCTGCCTACAATATAACAACTGTGCCACAGGTTCTCTTTAAAACATCGTTCTTGTCTTCCCTACTAAGCAAACCTCTACTTCTGCCATGAAACTTATATCACACTGCTTTCTCCCAGGAACCAAAGTATTTTCTCCCAGAGCACTGAGCATATTCCTTTATTGCTATACATGGTACATCTTCTGACCACCCCGTTCCTCATGCCCTCCTACTAAGCCACTCCAGGGCAAGGCTGAGTCCTTTTTGTGCACAATGTCTATCATAGTTGCTAGTTCACAGCAGGGGCTCAGTTAGGATCTGGAAATTAAGGACTGAATAAAGAGTAAACAAATGACAGTTTAGTGAGCTCAGAACACAAAGCCTCAGGTTCTTACTCCAAATGTGCCCTTGAACAGCTCTGCTGACGCCATCTAATTCCCATCACCTCACCACCAAGAAGGTACACTCCTGACTCTCCACAAGCAGATGCTTTTCCTCAGGGTACAAGGGCAGGGCCTCTCAAGTTAAAAGTGGTGTGGTAAGTCCTCAGGCCAGCAACATCAGCATCACTTGGCAACTTGTTAGAAATGAAAGGTCTCAAATTCTCAGTCCCTGCCCCAGGGTGCTGAGTCAGAATGTTTGGTTTAACAAGATCTTCAGGCAACTTATTTAGACTTTAAAGTTTGGAAGCACTATAAGCCAGCTCTGGCAGGCTTTAAGACAATACTAATACTGATTTTAGAAAGATCTTTAGTTTTGAATTTGTAATCATGCTAAAACCAAAGGGCCTCTGAGCAAGAATTCCTCCTGTGTATGCTTACCAAAAAACCCAAAACCATTGTCATGTCTGACCTGACAGGGATCCTCTCAGCAAACATGCTGCACTCCACAAACAGCAGGAAAGCACTAAAGGGTCATGCTGCCCTCAGTAACCAGAACAGGTGGCCATAAAGAAAATTTAGGACAGGACATACAATCTGCCCAGTGTCGAGAAGTCCTGTAGTATCTCTATACCTGCACTAACCGTCCTGGGTACCCTGACCTCAAACATTCCACTTCAGATTCCTTAGGATTACAACCCTCTTCCCAAACTCTATAAAAACCTACTTCTCCTCTGGCCAAGGACTGACATCTTTCTCAATGTCTGCTTGCCTGCATCTAGGCAGAATAAATAACCTCTTATTGCTCACATGAAGCCTTTGTGCAGGTGGTTTTTCGTGAGCCATTTGTAACAATTACATAGATCCGAGGCTCACCTTCAGGTAGCTGAATAAGTAGAAGAATAATGTAATCTAGAAATTATTTTCTACGGGCTTTATGCAGTGTAGACTAATCTCAAGTGCAAGGTGGTATGCACTAGTATGGTTCTTACAAGATGTACATGAGTCTCCCTGAAACATACAGCTAAGCTGAACACACAGCTTGGGCTCAGTCCGACACTGATATGAATACACAAGCACCTGCCCAATCCTCCTATGTCGCCAAAAAAAGGTGATGCATGTAATCCATTTCTTCTTTTGGAATAAGTTTAGGTCACCTTTGCGGAAAACTACCCTTGTTCCTGGTCCTATCCCAAGAGCCATGCTTCTCAGAGATTTTGTACTGCATGATATGGTGGCATGAGCTGGGGTCAGGGCCTAGTACAAATGTTTTGAACTGTGGCTCCACTACATCTTTGAGAAGGTCAGATATCCTCTCTCAGCCTCAGCTCCCCATGCTACCTACCAGGCAGAGCTTGGTAAGATTTTAAAAAATCAGTGGGTAAAACAGACAGCAGAGTGCAGAGCAACACAGAGCAGCACCAATATTCTGATTGGTGTTTCAGCGGACATTTGAATCAGGTTTTCAAACTAATCTAATCCAACTCTCTTACTGTATAGATGGAAAAGAGAGTCTGGGATACGTAATTTCTTTCCCAAGAAGGCATAAAATTATTGACAGAGTTAGAATTAGATTAATAAAAATCTTGACTTCTAAGAAACTTTGTTTTCAAACTCAGCAAGCACAGAAGCCTTTCTGCAGATAAAAATTTATAAAACAGATAACAAACCAAGCCTGCTCTGATTAAATAAGCCCTTTTTCCTCCCCTAGCTCCTTCCCCATGGCAACTATCCTGAGGCACCTTCTCAAGCACTCTTAGCTCCCCACTTCCATACACAATCTGGAAAATGGATGACTCAGACCACCTGAAACCCCAGTGCCAGTAAATGAATCATACCAGGTCTTACTCCTTATTCACCAGACCACCTAGGGTAGCCATGGCAAACCTTTTAGAGCTTTCAGTGATAATAAACAGCCTGCTGCAGCATGCATGCCATGGGTTCGCCACCACAGACCTAGCGGTTTTCAAGTCCCTGAAGTTCCCAAAGGACTTGAACTTTCTCACACATCCATCACTAACAGGAACCATTAAGCTGACATCAGCATTCTCCACACTTCATAAAGGAGCCTGACATCTGGAAATGGGTACCACCTGCAAGTGCTCTGACCAGTGATCACCACAGCATCAAGGCCAAGGAAACCCAAGGGCAGCTGAGATAAGAAAGAGATACCCTAAAATGTCAAGAAGGCCAGGGATGAATAATATGGGGCTAAAAGTGTATACAAAAAGAAGGCTCTGGGCAGAAGATCTGGATTTAAATCCCAGTTCTGCCACTTGCTGCGATGGTAACTAACCTCTCTGAACTTCAGCATAGTGCTGGATATTAAAGAGAATTGATTTTGGTGTCAGCCAGTCAGGTTCAAATATTGTCTCCCTTACCTATTTGTGTCACTTTAGGTGAGCTGGTTTATTCTGTACAGCTTTAGGTCTCTTGTCTAAAAAAAAATCCTATATATGAGGGAGAGAGAGAGAGAGAGAGAGAGACAGAGACAGAGAGAGAGAGAGAGAGAGAGAGAGAGAGAACCTACTCCATAGGGTGATTGTTAGGATTCAAAGAGATAACATGTAAAATACTTATCATGGAGCCTGGTGTGATGCATGCATATGAAAACAGGAGTGATTCAGCTGCACCTAATCAACAAGATGGGATCACCCTTCTACTCAGAGTTGCTGGGAAAAAGCAAACATGAAAGACTTTAGCAGGGAATTATTATTCCACAGTGAAAGAACACTCCACTGTTGTTAGTGTCCTCCCTGCACCCCTGAGCACTCACCTCTTTTAGCCACAGGAGCTTTGGGGCCTGCATTTCCACAGACATCATGCCCCCCACACACTGGAGGACACTGTGCTTGGTCTCATTGATCCTGTGGACCTGACTGATGGCTCGGTGGTCCAGCCACATGATGATGTTTCTATGGAAATCACCTAGTGGAAATGGAGAGAGATGAAGAAAGACATGCATTCTTTGCTTTCAGATTCAAGGGGACAGTGATGGTGGCCAAGGACAAAACACCCCACAATCTCTACTTTCACCTCGTGTACCAGGAATGAACAAAGTGAAAGGATACCAGCAGGGCCCTGAGTATATCACAACCCCAAACCCCTCTTCACCATACCTCAGGGTTAACAGTCAACATTAAAACCAGTTGAAATCTACCAGTTAATTATACCATCATCCATTCTTTCTCGATGTTTTCTTTTCCTTTCCCATCCGTTCAGTTCTAGAAAAACTTTTCTGGACTTACATTGAGGAACAAACCATAAAAGGACACACTATCTTTTTAAAGACCTCTGTACTTTAGCCAGGTGTGGTGGTGCACCCCTGTAATGCCATCACTCCGGAGGCTGAGGCAGGAGGATTACCATGAGTTTGAGGCCAACCTCAGCTATGTAGTAAGTTCAAGATCAGCCTTAACTACATAGCAAGACCCTCTCTCAATAAAACTTTTTAAAAAGTGTACATTCAATAGGGACAAACATTTTGATGGTATAACACGTCATAAGGCTGCACAATAGAGTTAGTTTGTTTGCTTATATTCCCACTTTTTCAAGTCTGTTTATCTAAAATTAGTTCATTTACGGGCTTTTCCCTCATTCCATGGATGGACAGCAAGCTCCTGAGTTCTAGAATAAGCACACTGCATGAGAAATGCTGACCCTTAAGCTACTGTGGGAGATATATTCAAACAGTTATCAAACTTTTCTCTGTGTCTTTGTCTATATGATGGGGATAACAATACCTATAGCATAGAGGGAGTTACTGAGATCCTTCATCCCATACTAAATAAAAGATAATGCACAGAAGGGACATGGAAAGTCCCTATCCCATGCAAGGCGCAGAGAGTAATCAGAAGGACAAGAATTTGAACCAGCTGGAAGAGCAGCACTGCCCCTTGTATCCTACCTCTCCTATCCAGTACCCCACAGAGTACTGTAACTGTGTCCTTCTGCTCTTCCCATCCATGGGCAAGGCACATTCCTTTCACCACTTCTGATGTTTCCTGGGGCACCATATGGAGGACAGGAGTGAACACACCTGAGAGAAGGTCACAGGAAGGACAGCGAGGACCCAGGAGTAACTGAACTAGGCAGTTTCACACATGACCTGATGGTGAAACAAATGCAACAACTACATACCTTGCTAAGAGGAAATGTTTATGGTATCTCTTTGTGTATCTCCCTGTGCTAATTAAACATTTATCATCCTACCTAATTCACTTTGCTATGAGGACTATTAAACCGATCATTTGTGACAGAATGAGGTTTGACAATAAGCCCAATGTCTTGCAGCTGGCAAATCCATAAAGTGTGCTTTGCACCAGATCTGCCAACAGAATAAATAAATTAGTAAAATAAACCAGAGTTAGACACAGCAACATGAATATGATACTAGTGAAATATTTCAAGACAGAATATGTTTATTATTGTTGTTGTTGTAGCTATATACATATGTAGAAAAAGCACAAAAACAATGTATATATGAGCAGCAATTAGGGTGCCTAGGGAAAAGGGCTAAAGTTACAAATGGTTCTTTTTTATTTGGTTTATTAGTACGCATGTGCAGTACATAATGTTTACATTCCTTGTGTGGAGTCGGTTTATGTGTACAACACATCTTAATTCCTTTTTCATCCCCTTAACTTTCCTCCCCCTCTACCTTTCTCAAGAAGACCTGAGGCAAACTTAGCAAAATCTCATCTTTACCCTCAATAATGAATACATAAAAGACTGCTTTTTAACTCTTCTATGTCTTTGAAAATCATTTTTAAATTAAAAGAAAAATAAAGGTCAACCTAAGAGAAATATCTAAATAAGGAACAAATTGCAAAGCACGAGGCTCAGTCACTTGTTTTCCTGACTGGAAAGATCTCACGTCCCCAAAAAAGCTTTCAATTACTTGGAAAATAAGACATAGTACATGAGACCTTCTACGGACGTATTTTAAAAAACACACTTGTAATAACAGAGTGGTTCTGCTGTATAATAAGATTCCTGCAGGCTCTGGTTCTCAGCTTTTGGTGCACACAAGACTCATCTGAGTTGTAGCCTGGACCATCAATGAATCAGAAACGTGTATTAGTGGGTATGTGTAGAGGGGGTCATTATTGTTTATTAAATCTTATAGAGAACATATCTATGGCTGCTTCAAGACAAAAATACCTCTTGCTATATTCCAACTATGGTAAAAAAAAAAGCCATAATTAAGGATTAAAATGATTAAAACGAATACTTGATGATGTGAAATAGGAAGAAAAGGTCCAAAGGGCAGGAGGGGAAGGGGAAAGGAAAGAAGGGAAAGAAAAAATTATGAGAAAAGAGAAAAAACAGAAACGAAGTCTATGTAAACAGGGAAGGGTGGAGGGGGTGAAGGGCACACAGGGAATGGGGAAAAAATAAGAACCAAGACGCATCATGTACAGGTACAAGCACTCAATGATAAATGTAAATCTATTGTATACCTAAAATGTACCAATAAAAGAATTTAAGGAAAAATAAATAAATAAATAAATGCTTGAGAGACAAAATTTTCCTGAGCTTTACAATCATATGAATAATTTTCCACTCTCCAGACAATTCCATCCTGCATCGCACAAGTCAGTTATCTATAGATCATCATTCATGGTCCTCTCATGAGAGACAGAGAGAGAGAGACAGACAGAGAGAATGTCTGTGCATATAAACTTTCTCTCCTAAGCCAGGTTATAATTTTCTCAAGAGACAGAGCCAAAGGTTTCCCCTCTTTATGTCACGCATGCTGCTTAGCCAAGGTCAAGACATGTGCTGAGTAATGATTAATAAATGTTTGTTGACTGCTTTATTACCAACCATGAGGGCAGGGGAATGGGGAGAAAATGAGAACCAAGATACATCATGTAAAGGTATAAGTTCCCAAAGATGAATGTAACTGTATTATATACCTAAAATATACCAATAAACTTAATGAAAAAAAATTTTAAGCCAATTACCTACTGCTACTATAGGCAGAATATGAGAACAAAACAATGAGAATTATACAGAATCACTTTACTATATTTATTATGATTATTACTCTTTGGAGGCAGTACTGGGGATTGGGGATTGAACCTAGGGCCTTTCCATGTGGATATATCCCCAGCCCTTTTTTCAGTATTTAAAATTTCTTTTCATTGGGACAATTTTTTTTTTTTGGTACCAGGAATCGAACTCGGGACCTTGCACTTGGAAGGCAGGTGCCAGAACCACTGAGCTAAATCCCCAGCCTCACTAAAATTTCTTTTCAGAAAGGGTCTCCTAAGTTGCTAAACTGTCCAGGCTGGGCTCAAACTTCAACCCTCCTGCCTCAGTCTCCCACAGTTCTAGGCCTACAGGCATGTACCATCACACCGGGGTTATTCTCATTTTAGACAAAAACTGAAGAGTTAATCTTCAATTCTTATAGAAAGTCACAAGTAAATAGCTCAGTTAAAGTTCACTTAATCTTTTACTGAGCATCTACTACATTTTTGATACAGTGCTTGGTTTCAAGAAGAGTGTACCTCAATCCCTTCCCATGAGGAGCATGTGACTGAGAGGAAAACGAGTCTTTCAGGAAGCTGACAGCCAGAACAGAGTGCCAGGCCTGGGAAAACACAGGAGGAGCTCAGCTCCAGTAGGCTGAGTCTGAGGATATACACAGATCTTCCAGAAGGCAGAGCTTTTATTTGATTCTGGTCAGCCAGTGGAGGAAGAGTGAAGGAAGAGGTTCAGCATAACAGAAAGAGCATGTGAAACAAACCAGAAAAGATTGCCTATTTTAGGAGAACCCAAGGCAATCCAGTACAGTAGAATTTGAGTTACAAAGTTAGCTTCACCTAAGGGCATATTATTCATCAGGTATCACTCAATTAAAATGTTGAGCACCTCACAGGACATGTTTCCAGCATACTCGAGAACAAAACAATTTCTATGAGCTAGCAAAAATATCAGATATTAGATTTCTGTTGCGCAGAGCAGCCTAGTTCTGAACTCCCACCCAAGCACCAACTATCACGCTTGGTTCTTTCCCACCCCCAGAAGGTTCTTGGCCAGATGACTTGATAGGAGTTAGGCCTGGAGCATGGTGACTGCCTGGAAGGAAACCATAGTGACTGCACTACTGACCCAGGGCCGTTCTGATCTTCAAAACAAGAAGATCCAAGCCAGAAGAGGCTAAGAATGAGGCTGTTTTATCACACACTGATGCTTAGTGCTCTTAAACTACTGTACTTAATTTGTTATTTTTGTTATCGTTGTTGTTGACATTTAAAGACAGCAACACTTTTGCCAGTCTTCTGGTTGAAGCTTTAGTAATGACTGGGGTTATTTGTCCTCTTCCTGACACCAGGCCCTGCTCCTTGCAATTACTACAGTTGGTTCCTACCATGCAGCTCTTTAGAGAACTTTCAAACCACCTTTAAAACCATCATTTTCAAGAACAATAATTCTGTTAGATAAAATCTAATTTAATACACTCTGTGGAAAGGCAATCTGCAGTGAACACAGCCTGTGGCACCCACAGCCAGACACAGCTGATAGATAAATGCGTATGTTTTAACATTTTAGGTGAAATAAAGGTACTTCAGCACTTATCATTAGGGTTGCAATGTAGCTCCCATTTAATAGAGGACTTATTAACAGATAGCAATTCTACTTACCTTGAAAAAACAAGATGGTATCCAGAGAGGATGCCTATTTAAGTAGGTTCAACAAAGAATTCTCTCCTTCCACTTCCAGTATCAGTTCCTACAATTTAAACTGCCTGTTCATCTGTGCCTGGTGATTCTCCACATATTAGAATTACTAAGGACATTTTTAAGAAATGATGATGTCCTAGACCAGTGGTGTCGAACCTACAGCACATGTGCTGCAGCAGGCTGTTTGGATCACTGAAAGCTCTGAATGGTTTACCATCACTGCCCTAAACCCATCTAAAGCCAACTGAATACAAATCTGGGGCGTACAATGTATGGATGGCAGTTTTACAAATGCCCCCCACTGGCACTAATGCATGCACAGCCAGAGTTGAAAAAACAAACACATATTTTAGTAGATCAGACAGCATGGATCCCCAGACATTTAGGACTCTGACCATCTAAAATCTCATTCAAAATGAGAATTCCTGATACAGTGTCCCTAACAATCACCTAACTTTCACTTAAAGCTAGTAAAAGAAGCATTGGCAGATGCCTGGGGCCAAGTCCATGGCTGCCACATCTCCTAAGTACCCACTTTGCTGAGCAGAGGTTGACTGGCTCCCCACGCCCCTCACATCTCTATTCTCTGAAGGGGCCCAGGTTGTGCCCCAGAACAAAGCCAAGTGAGCCAGCACATACTCACTGAGGACCAGGATCACTCAGTTCATCTTTAAAGCCCCAACACTTAACAAGACAGAGCTTAGCACACAGATGATGGTCATCACTCCCTCTGTGTTTGTAACAGCTATCCTGGCAACTGCTAGAGGATAATGCCTCCTTAGATGGAACATCTAATTTCCAGTACACCATATCTCCACCACCCCCAATGTCTTCCACCTACTACAAAGTAGGATATCAATAGTTTATCATCATGCATGTAATGTTGTTTTTCTCAAACTTGGCCTACTTTATTCATTTACATGACTGCCTGACTAATATAGACTTTGAGTGTTCAATACTAGTGCTACTGCTATTGTCTAAAATTTCCCAGAAAAATGTCTGATGTTGAGTCCAAGTAACAACTCACATTTGAAACAGCTCATTAGTGAAGTCACAAGGATCAATTATCAGAACAACACCATTAAGTGTGACTGTCATGTGATATATGGTCCTGTCTGCCTTGTTCTATTTCCTTTAATTGTAGTTAGCTCACCCTCTCAAATGACCATTGCATAGTATACCTTCATAAGAAAAACAACTGCAAACCCTGACACTCCCTTCCGAAAAGAGAAATAACATGAGGGGTTCAAGGCCACTCCTAGCCATCTAATGAGCAAAAGTCCTTTTTTCATCAGGCTCTCTACCACAGCTCTTGGGCTTTGTGGTGCCAAGTCCCTCTCTGACCCATCCCCACTACATTCATTCATTCCAATTGTTCTGCAATCTTTTAGCTCCTGTGACATGATATCTGGCTTCCACACTCCACCCCTAAACTTCACTATCAGTGGTAAGAGCCACCAGACTTTATGCCGCACTTGGGCACTTTGAACATATCACCAAGACTGCCCCAGCCAGCCTCCCATCTTCCACCACCAGAGAAGGGAGAGGAAAGGTCCTACCTTCATAGTTTACAGGTAAAGGATGAAATTGCTTATCCAAGACAACCAGAGAACATGTGGCATCAAACCCAAGTCCTCGGATTCGGCTTAAATCGATCCCTTGTACAACTTTCTGTTTAAAAAAACAAACAAAATAACCACAAATTTTAAAACCAAGCTTTTAATAGCATGAAGACAAGTTACAACTTGAAGGAAATAAATGATAGTATAGAAAAAAGTATCTGCAATAAATCACGTAAAAATTTAATATCACTAATAAAGCAAAAGCTTCTATAAAGTAATGACAAAAAGACAACCAACTTAATTGAAATTTAAGCAAAGGACATGAAATGTCACTTAAAAAAACAAAATGATCAGAGTACATGGAAAGATTTGCAACACCACTATGATCAGATAAATACAAATAAAAGTATGCCAGGTTTGTTTTTAATGTTAAAAATATTAAAGATTAACAGTATATGTTAGTGGCAAGGAATGGGCAAGAGGATCCTCATAAGTATTATTCTAACAGGGTAACTAGAGAGTACAAATTTTCAAAAATAATTTGATACTACCTATTAAAATTATAGACATGCATATGTCTTGCCCCATCGATCCCACTTGCAGGAACCTATGTGATTAGCAAATTATTACCACAAGTAAGTTACATATAGAAGAATTGCATCATTACTATTAACACATTTAAAAACTCAAAAAATTAATTCTTGTCAAATGAATTATGGCACGTCTATAAAAGGGAAAATTATGCAGAAATTAACAAAGAAAGTAGACGTACAACTTCGGGGTGTGATAACTGAGGAGGGAAGCAAATTCTCATAGCAAAATAAAAGTATAAAACTGGATAAAAGTCAGCAAAATCAACCATTTGGGGGCTACAGAAATTGATCAAAGCCACATGACAAATCAAGAAGTCTATTTTATTTTAAAAATCAAATCTATATTTAAAACTGTCAAAAAATAAACAAAAAGTAATTTCAGCTCCTAGTGGTTTCTCTGGAGAATTTCAGTAAGTATTTAAGGAATAGACAGTATCAAACCTGTACAGTGAAGGAGCCAGTACTTTGCAATAAATATGACAGGACCAAGATTACTCTAGTATCAAAGACAAAGACATCATTTAAATAAAGGATACCACAGTCCAATATCTGTCATGAACATATGTGTATAAATGCTTCACAAAATATTAAACCAAATATTGAAACATATAAAATTGGTAATATACACCATTACCATGTGTAGTTATCCCAGGAATGCAAGGTTAACTTAATATCCACAAATCAATCAATGTAATACATATATACTGTACATATACAAACACGTGCACATGCATACACACGCACACACACACATACACAATAAAGTACTAACACTAAATGATCAAATCAGATGTTCCCCATTCCAACAAAAGAACAATTAGAGATCAGAACCAGAAGGGAACTTATACAAACTAATAAAGAGAATCCACAAAAACTGATGGCTAATGTCATACTTAATGTTAAAAATGAATGATGTCCCCTATTTAAAAAAAATAACAAGAATGTTCACTTTAACTACTTCTATTCAACCTTGTGTAAAAGATTCTAACCAGTAAAAGAAGAAAATAAAATAAATCACACAGACTGGAAAGAGACACAGTAAAAGTGTCTTTTGCAGATGATATGACTTCGTATGCAGAAAACTCTAAAGAATCTACAAAAAAAGCTACTAGAACTAATAAGCAAGTTTAGTAAGATCACAGGATTCAAGGTTAATGTATTACAGTCTATTACGTATTTATGTTCTGGCAACTGAAAAAAATGAAATTAAGAAAATATTTCTATTCATAATAGCATCAAAAAATGAAATGCACAGGAATAAATTTATCAAAATTTCAAGTTCAAAAGAACCAATTAGAAATATGAAAAGACAAATTATAGAATGGGATAAAATATATTCAAGTCACACACTTGATAATACACTTGAATATAGAATATATGAGGAATTCTAATAAATAAGAACAAAGCAATCCAATTATAAAATGTGCTAAAAATTTGAATAGACAGTTCCCCAAGAAAATACACAACTGGCCAATAAATGAAATGGTCTATGAAAATTGTTCAACCCTGCTAATTAAATCAAAGGAATGCAAATTAAAATCACAGTGAGATACCATGACCTACCCACTAGAACAGCTGTAATCACAAAGACTGACAATACCAAGTGTCAGAAAACAATGGGTAAAGGAGACCACTGTTCATTCCAGGTACAAATGTACAACACCCACTTTGGAAAAACTTTGGCAGTTTCTTACAAAACCACTCAGCCCAGCAATTTCCCGCCAGAATATCAACGCAAGAAAAATAAAACATGTCAATGCAAAGACTTATATGTGAGTATAAGCTTTATTTATAATACTGATTTGTCGCCCAAGGGTTCATGTACTGGAAGTCAGGGCCCTAGTGTAATTAACACAGGTAGCACAATTGGGGCTGGGAGACTACCCCTCCTCTACTCACCCAAATTAGAGCAACACCCCAAGGATAACCCTCCCCCTGTTCAAAGAGAAGCAAAAATAAAAATAGTAAAAATCCAGGAAATCTCTAAGGCTCCAGGCCAGAGCACATGCATGATCTTCTGGTTCAAGCTTAGTTAAAGGTTCATATATAGGAACTGTGCCTCATGTATGTAATTGAACAGAGTAAACTCTTGGAGGACCATGCCTGTCAGATGCCCCTAAGATGACTTAGCACCCTGTCAATCTTATCCAGAGATCCAGTGAGAGACACCAGAGGTGGGATATACTTCTTTTTAAAATCCTAAATCTTGATTTATTGATGCGCTTTTTATTTTCCTGTTACCCTGACACCACTTTCCTGTTTGAGTCTCATTTGTGTTTCTATTGGCACGGGCCTGTCCCAAGCACATCTTCCGGTCATTTTCAATAAACGTAGCTGCTTTTCTTGTACCACTGAATGCACACTGGCAATTTTTTGCTCTCTATACACAAGAGCCTGGAATCTATTTGTCAGATCAACCACATAGATATTTGACATAAGTAATGAGATCTTTTAAAAAGGTAGCCTTGGTGGGTGGGTGGGGTCCTGGGGGAAATGCCATCTGGAATTAATGTGGTTTTGGTGGGACCTTGATCAGTTCCTGCAAGAGAGGCCTATTATAAAAGAGCAAGACTGGTGCCCCTCACTCTCCATCTTCCTATCCGGTCATGATCTCCCTTTCACATGCATTCCCATCACTGTGACATTGTCTACCAAGTGGCCTTCACTAGAGCCAAGCAGAAGCCATGCTCTGGAACATGCAGAACTGTGAGCAAAGTAAACCTCTTTTCTTGATATATTTACTGCCCTCAAATATTTTGTTATAATAACAAAAATGGGCTAAGATTGGTACCAGAGATTAGGATTGACCTCAAAAATGTGGAAGCGGCTTTGGAACTAGGTAACAAAGAGAGATTGGAAGGGTTTGATGGAGCAGGCTAGAAAAGCCTAGAATACTATAAAGCAGAGCATTATAGATGACTTGGGTGGCGGGGCTCAGAAGACAAGGGGATTAGAGGGGTAGTCTCCGATAGAAATGAGAATCCAATTTGACTCTGGAAGAAAGGCTTCCCTTGTCATAGTTGCAAAGAAGTTAGCTGAAATGCGCCCATCCCCTAGAACTCTGTGGAAAGCCAAATTTAAAAGTGATGGATTTAGGGCATCTGACAAGAAACATCTAAACAAAACATAGAAGGGTCTGTGTGTGTACTTTTGGCTGTTTTCAGCACAATTTGGAATAGAAAGAAACAGATTGGAAAGATTTGGAAGACTCATAGTCTAGCTAGGAAAAGAGCAATGAAAAAGATTTGAAAGGTGTAAGTGACTACTTGCTAAATTAGCAGATAGTCTGGAAAATGACAACTCTCAGAAAACTTCAACCCACTACAACAAACTCAGAGACCCAAAAGACTAATCTGTTTGCAGGACCACACCCAGGGCATGCTCCTTGACCTCAGTGCCCAAGGCTGCCTTGAGGTTCTGTTTCCTGATTTTCACTGAAAAAGTGCTTCACAGTGGCTGCAGCTGTGGTTCCAGCAGGACCAGGACCAGTACTGTTTGTTTGGTGGCAGACTTTTGTGGCATCCACATGATCCTCATTCTATAGGCGTGTAGAATGCAGGAGTTAGGGAATCATAGCAACAGTCACCAAGATTTGAAAAGAAGGCTTGGGAAGCCAGACAGAGGTTTGCCTCCAGATCAGGTCCCTTACAGGACCTAGTATTACTGTCAGCTCTGAGCTTGTGGTTCCACAAACATCAAGGACTGAAGTCAAGAATCAAAAGAGGAGGCAAGGGAAGTTTTATTGGAAATAAGAAGAATAGCTCTTGGGTTTCCAGGAGGGGGTCCAAGTAAGTGGCTTTATGGCCTCTCAATCCAGAGTTAGTTATAGATAAGCAGAACATAGGAAATGCTCAATTATTTAGTGGCCACCTATCACAGAAGGCTCTGTGGATTTAAAATGACCAGTTGGAACTCTGGCTTGTAACTCAGTTCTTCAATATGTAAAGTTTAAAAGAAACTGGGATTTTATAGAAAAAAAGTGGTTATTTTGCATTTTAAGCTCCTCAGAACTCAGGAGCCTCTGCAACTCCCTTTTGTAGGGAATGGGCTACATCTTATACTGCCCGAGGAGAAAGTTTATTTTTTGCACAAAGTCCAAGTATTTCTATTCTTATTTTAATTTTTATCAATATGGCTGGCCACCCAACTGTATTTCAGGCTCTTCCCCTAGATAGCTTTGCTCATAAGCTAACTAAACTACTTTCTATGCTAGCACCACCCCCTTAAACTTTCAGATCTGTGAGCTAAATAAACCTCTTTTCTTAAAATACCCTCTGGTATTTCTTTGTAGTAAGCAAAATGGATTAAAAGAAAATTGGAGACACTGGGAAAATCTAGTGGAGCAATGGGAATGGAGCTGCACTTGGGAAGCCGGAAGGTAAAACAAGAAGCAATGTCCAATGGTTAGCAAGGAACACTTCAGGGCACCCTGCAAAGATAGCCAGGAGGTGTGACCTTGAAACCTGTGACTTGGGAATTTATAGGGGTGAGTTTCCTACCCCTGGGGCCCCACCCC